TAAAGGAATGTATGAATTATGTGTGAGTGAGTGGAGGTGGCCGGTAAGACTGTTGGAGCTATCTTTGCATATGTGTTGCTATTTTTAATAAAATATCTTGTAACATTCAGGACAAAATATAAAACTTCTCTGACTTCAGATTTACAGAGTTTAAGGCTTCGCTGGTTGATTTGGCTGTTTCTCAATCCCATGTTATTTTTTTCTTTTCTTTTTTGCTCATGAGGTTTGTTTCCATTTTGTTTCAACGCAAAAAAAACATGCCTCTCTCTAATTGGTTAATCCACTTGTTAATGACACCAGAATTAGTGGAGACAGGAAACAGTACCAGAGTGTACTTCTTTGTAACGTTTGGGAAATGGCTCACCAGACAAACAGTAGTCTCATTAGAAATTAGCCAGGCTGGCGCCACCTAGTGTCTCCGCTCAATTTAATTTCTCTCCAGCAACTAGGTCAGGAATCAGAATATACTAGACGGTTTACAAAAACCCCGAAGTGCAAGTTCCAGCCAATCAGTGAAGAGTCATATTCAGTGTTGTGAACGATTCCCGAGATCGAGGATTTAAAGTCAGAAAGAGAATGTTTGGTGAATTTTATCAAGGGGAAAGACATTGTTGCCCTTCTTTCTACAGGATTTGGGAAAAGCTTAATATTCCAGTTAGCCCTGTTAGCGGCGCATTGCATACGTGACTACCAAATAGCAGCGATTGGTTAAATGATAAAAAGTACCCACCTACCGTCAAGTGAACGAATTCTAACACTGCAAGGTCAGATTGTTTCTACGCAGTGAATTCAGCTGATGAATCTGTTTAATTAGAAATGCCCTCGTCAGCATCACCTCGCGGACACAATCATACCACCTGTTAGCTTAGGTTAGCACAAATGTTAGCTTACGTTAGCACACAGAACATGTTAGCTAAGCCCTTTGAGTGTGTGCTGTGAGTGTGTATCACTCCAGAGGCAGAGAGACGAGGGATCCACCGTGTCCCCACAGCCCCCACACCTCAATCACTCCGACTGCTGCGCTCCAATTTACACCTCCCTCTGCACATTAGCGCTCGCGGTTCACATTAGCACATGTGGTGTGGAGCTCTCCCCGAGACGCCCTGGCTCCTCACACCTGCTCCAGGGACTCCGGCGCGCAGGCATGTGGGAGCGACTCAGGTGTTTTCCTCTCGTCACATTCAATTAGACAAAATGTACGTCTCTGGTGTTAATTTAGAACGCAGAATTGAAACAAGGAGTAAACAGCAACAAACAGGATTAATACTGTATGTGTGATGTGACTAACTAAGACCTCCTGTGTGATGCCATGCTCAGATCTGCTCAGAGTCTGTTCACTTCTGCACTTTTGTCCAAACTTTTTAACTATCTAACATTAGGGATGTAACGATACCCAAATCTCAATATCATCACGATATGCATCTCACAGTATGATATTTACTGCGATATTTTGGAGACGCTGATGTAATTGTAGATAGGACACTTTTTTGCTTTTAAAATACCCTGACAAGAATTTGCCTTCAGGGTAGTCTCAAGGTCTTAAAAGTCTTAAAAAGGTCTTAAATTTCATGTTCCTAAATTAAGGCATTAAAAAGTCTTAAATTATGTCCAAGTCTTATTTTTTTCACAAAGGTCTTAAATTTCAGTAGCCTGTTTTTTTTGTATACTCAACCAGGCTGCAGTGCAAAATCACGTAACACGAATGACCGTCTAATTTGGAGTATGTGCAAACAATACTTTGGTTTCTGGTGCTGGCGGCAATGAGTGAACGATCAGTAGAGTGGAGGAAGATGTTGGATGGATCATGGGGAAGTGCAGGTTTAATTCACAGTGGCTCTTAGTTTCTAGATATAATACTGTAGTTGGTTGGTAATTAATAGAATTGGATCTGTTTTTTTTTTTCTCCCACATAATGGGTGCGATATTGGTCTTAATTTTTATTTAAGTGGTATCATGGGATATGTAGTTTCCGATGTTTAATAGCTAGTGCTATTATACTGTGTTATACTATAAAATAATCAATTTAAGCAAAGGAACTATGATTCGATATATTGTGATGCCCCACGATATTATTGTGAGACTTGATACGATACCACGATATTTCGGTTATTGTTACATCCATATCCAACATGTTAATTATTAACAATTGTCATTTGCGTCAACTTTGCAACAGTCAATCAGAGCACCCAGACAGCACCAGGCACCCGGAGCCTAGTGATGCTCATAAACTACAAACTGTGAGGATACCAGCTCAGACATTTGTGCAAACTTTTACATTTATCATCATCACACACACACACAGAGGCAGTGTTAGTTTGGATTGCGATTATGTGGTTTTAAAATTCTTTGGTATGTTCCCTGCCTGAACAGACTAAAATGAAGTTACCACAGCGAATTTACCCACTCAAACCACCAGTGAATCAGCCCCATTGGACCAATCGTAGGGCTACCAGCCAAAGGTGAAGCACTCAAACGAACCAAAACAAACATGGCAGCCATGATGGATGTGCATAGGCCATTCCTGGCTCTGGTTTTACAGAGAAAAATACTTTAAAAATAGAGCAGTCCCAGATTTATTATAAGTAGAACTCCAATATGCTACTCAATCTAACTTCTGACAGAGGAAAGGCCTGGTATACATGCTGTGTCCAAACCCCACGGCCATAGTGCGGCACATGTTAAAGGACATATATAGACGTGTGGTAAATGTAACTGATCATGTCTGTGTCAGTGAGTGATTAGAGAATAGCAAAAAACCTACTGATTATTTAGAATGCAAATTGATGACAGTTGTTTCTCTGTGGTCTCCTGGTTCTGTCGGTTGAAGGATGGTGCGGCTCTTCTTTACAGTAAATATTTTGGCTCTTGCCTTCTCATTACTTACCTGTGTCCTCAGTGACTACAGCCTTTGACTAGAGCGTCTGCAGCTGCTCAAATAGGGGTTTGGTTGTGATCATTTGTCAGACCCACCACCCTCTCCACCCTCACAGACCAGTGCTGTGCTCTGGATCCTCTGATACGTTTACCCAGAGTCTGATCCGGTTACTCTGATTGAAGGCTTCCTCTGTCTCACACGCACACACACAAACACACACAAACAGACACACAAACACACACGCACATGCACGGACCACCACCGCACAGAGCCATAACTGTGTTTTTCATTTACTCTGATTTTATTTGAGATGTTCTCCTCTCCGTGTCCGGTGAAAGGATGACGCTAATCTAACCTCAGGCGAGCACTTTTAAGGCTGTGTCCATGTGGAAGAAGAACAGAAGCAGGCCGGATGTGTCATGTTCCTCTGGTTAGCAAAGGACATGCAGTATTTTAACAGAATGAATGTAATTGTATTAAAGATATTTGTGAAGTGTTAGAAGACTATACGGATTTTGAATACAAGTTATGCACATCACGTGACAACATTTGGACAGATGAGAATGGCAAAAGCTGTTTGAGTAGCGATCTGTACAGAGAGAACTGAAGGAGTGTTTAGTTTAGTTTAGTGGTTTATTTTAACACCATGTGCAAAGGCTTTAATCTCATAAAAGAATAAATGATTTACACCAGATTTAGCAAAAGCCAGTTTCCATCTGCAGTCCTTGTGCAGGTTAACACATAAACACCTAAAATACATCCAGGTATCCGTCTGTTTACAGTCAAACCATGCACTTTCCACATTTCCACATTTAAAACTACTCAAATACAAGGCAGATATTACCATATAATCCTAGATTACTATTTACTACATGCAAATACAAATCAGATCATTCAATCAATCAAATCCACTAGAACAGGCGTGGGCAATTCTTTTTTCCATGGGGCCCACATGAGAAACAGAAAATATTGTGAAGGGCCAAAATGCTCAATTCTGCATAATATGAGTTGTATTTCTTTATAAAAAGCAGTAAATAATATTGTTTTGACAGGTTGGTAAGACTGGTAGTTTATGTTATGACTAAGCAATGAAAAAGTGAGTTTGCTTTATAAAAAATGTCATTTAAAAAAAACACCTCTAAAACAAAAGCAATGCAGCTTTAGTCCATGCATGAAGTAAAATGATAAAATATGTTTATTTTGTCATTTCAAATGATCCTAAATAGGCCGGTCAGAGTTACAGATTTCCGATTGAAAAATCAGAGTAAAGTGGACTGTGAATATAAAGCTGAGCTTACAAGTAATTCCTCAGTGTAGTGTTTGGTAAATTCCTCTTTCATCTAACTAAGCACAGCAAGTTAAGCGTACTTTAGCTTTCATTCATAGAACTCATGTTGTGAAGCTGTGCCAACTAATCAGTCAGTTCCTCAAATCTGAAATATAGTAACCTTTACTTTAAGAGTAAAGTTCATCTTACTTGATCAAACCATGGAAACCTATGCCTTGAATTGGGCAAGTAAATATTACTTTTATAGATAAGTTAGAGTAAAAACTGGTTCTATTCTACAATAATGTAATGTAAATCTGCATCAGGGACACACGGATTGGAATATTTATTAGTTTAAAAAAAAAAAAAAAGTAGCAAAACTTTTGTTCAGCTTCAGTTCAAAACACATCGTAACATGTGAAACAAAAAAATAATAGAGCTCAGTCATTCAACTGATCCAAGACCCCGCACTTAGGGCTCAAAAAAAGATGGAAAAAACAAAACAGGAGTACAGGTGTAATCTGACAAAGACTGAGTGAACAGAGGGAGGATATAGAGACGCCCTGGGATGATTTGGGAATGAGTGACGGCTGTAGGAAAAACAGGGAGGAAGCAAAAGGAGGAGCGGAACAGACTGGGAAATGGAGCTGGACTCTTGGCAAGAATACGTCACTGTAGAAATTACTCGTCTCATTCAGCCTTAGTCTAATTGACAAGTCATGTGCTTTTTTGCCCTGAAAGTAACTCTTATTTTACCACAATCATTAAGCTCCACAAGTTTGTAGCTGCGAGTTTTACAGTCTATGGTAGTATCAGAATACACGTGTTTCTTGTCACTAACACTTTTCTCTCTTGTAGTTACGAAGAGTGCGTGGGCCCGGGCGCGACCGAGATCTACATCCCCACAGACGACCCGCCCCCTTACTCCCTATTGGACCCATGTCAGCAAGAGGCGGGGCCAGGGGAGGAGCCTAGCCACACCCACCACAGCACCAGCACAGACAGCTCAGCCAGCACTTCCTGGTTCTCCCCCGCCCCCCACTGCCTCTCGGGACAGCACGTCACCTCCATCTCCTACCCCATGGAGGAGGCCCCGCCCTACGAGTCCGTGCTGATGGACTCGGGTCAGCCCCTCCCCCTCATGCCATGTGACCTTTACAAACACCAATCAGAGGCCAGAGGGGAGGGCGGGGACGCACAGCTTGCAGAGGCGAGTCAAATCCGGTAGTGACTTTGCTACCTGGACGATACCGGGAGGAGGACGGGAGCTCTGCAGTTTCCCAGTTTCCGAAGCTTTCCAAAATTATTCTTGGGATCGACTACCAATACCAGTCTGTTTTTACCGGCCTCAACTTTGACTGTTCTTTTGTATCCTGTCATGAACTACTGCTACAATAAGAGAGCTTTCTACAAGTGTGAAAATTAGGATTAAAGGTCATATATTATGCTAATTCGACTTACTATTTGAGCAAGTGAAATAATGCTTTTCCCATAACAGTAGCACTTGGAATTACGTTTTTGGTGTCATTCATGTATGTTTGAGTAATCTTGCAATCTATTTCCATCTATAGCACTCAAAATCCTGGTCTACCTTGTGATGTCATTGGGTGGTTAACCAGGAAGTGATGCGAATTTGAGTTCAAACTCCTTCGCTCCATCATAAACTCATCATAGTCTTTTCAGCTCCTCTTTTGATAATTCTCAACGTTGAAAATTTTACAGTTATTGGGCCTCATTCATGAAACATTCTTACAAACAAATTTGTACTTAATGCCTTCTTATGAACATTTTTGGCATTCACAAAACTTTTTCTTAACTGAAAATATTCTTCTGTAAGAACAAATCCTACGAACGGGCAAGAGCACTCGTAAGAAAAAAAAATTCTACTGTTTTAGAATATTATTACACAGATAATGCAACAAAAAATTTAATTCCTCCATGATTGCAAGTTATATATTTTCTTAAATTATTTCCTAAAAACACTTTATTAAGTGATCCAATTACATTTATGAAGAGTTTTATAGAGCACGTGTCTATTGGGTCTAACAGACTTTCTCCAGACTGCAGTGAGCCTCAGTCTGTCCCAGCCCCAGTGCTCTCCACATGGACCTCTGCTACATCCCTGCGCCTGGTCACCACGCTGGACTCAACACCCCCTGACCCCCCCATGACCAGAGCACACTCTAATGTACCCCCACCCCAGCCCCACTTTGTCGTTATTGAGACGGCGTTTCTAACCAAATACATATTCATTTTCTATGTAAATGAAATGTAAATGTTGGTAGCTGGGTGTTGGGGAATGCGACGCAACTGTCACTTAAGAAGGAATTTGTCTGCGTAAGAGTGTTTTGTGAATCTGGTGCAGAGTTTTTCTCAGCATTTCCTTAAAATGGTTACGAAAGTTACGGGAAAAAAAGTAAGATTCATGAATGAGGCCCATTGTTTTTAACCTCATTTCTTAAAGAGCTTAAATGGCCAGTGATGCCCTCTGCTGACCACGTGAGTTCTTTTGCATACACAGAAACCAGAAACCACAAATTTACTTTTAAATGATTTCCATACTTAGACATAATTTTAAGCTGTAAAACTGTAAATGCAAAATTGCTAAGAGTTCAGGATCAGGATTAAAATGGGACCTTTAAAAAGACGTAGTATGTTTTTGCATGTATTTTGTTGTAAACCTGCAACATTTGTCCAAACATTGTAAACCTCACTGAAAAAATACTGCACTTTATTTTTAAAAACGGTCTATAATCTGATCGATTAATATTTGCAAAAATGGCCATGGGTGGGGATAGGTGGTAGGAATAGGAACAGAAATTTTCTAAAAGTTCAAATGCAGGACAATACTACTCAAACATGCATGAATCACTCAAAATTAGGGTGACCGGAATTTCAAAAATTAAGAAAACTGGGACATCCCTGTTTTTTTTGGTGGCTGGTAATAATAAAATTGTGAAACTTAATTAAGGAAAATTGTTCTGCAGAGACCATTCATGACGAACATGTGAGCCAGTATAGTCACATTTTCTTTGTGTATTGGTCATTGGTCAAATTGGTCAAGAGTAGGGACATTTCTTGTATAAAACTGAGAAAATCAATAAGTCTGCTGGTCACCCTACTCATAAACAACTCTTGAGTAAGCAAATAATGAGGGATCGCCATTATTACAACATAAAACTCATAATATAGTCAATTTTGCATGATATGTCTCCTTTAAAGTTAGGCTAACAAGCACAGTGTTCTTCCCCGTGTCACTGCCCATAGTACATGACCCACCCACATGCTGTAGCCATCCGCCATGTTCGACTTCTCCTGTTCTGAGTAAGTTTAGCAGGTTCTCTTGTTCGTGTAATGTTGTGCTCCTTAATGTGGTGACTATAGGAGTAGTGAAATAGAAAGGGACCACTGCGACATTCTAAACGTGGTCCAGATACTAGTAAGATGTTGGATTTTTTGGCGTTTTTAAAAGTGATGTAATGTACAGTTTGGGTAGCAAAGTAGCACGGCGTATTAAATTTTTCTTTTTTGGTTCTGTAAGTAAACCAATGTGCCCGCCCCTAAAAATATTCACTCTCCAAATGGACGTAAAGTGTAAGGTTAAAGGTGACCTACATAACTTTTCTGGTTTGTCTCCATGGAGGTGTTATTGCTTTGTCTGAACTGTAGACTGTATAAAGAAGTGGATAAGTGAGTTGACATCATCCATAGTGTTCGACAGTCAAATGAAGCTAGTTGAGGCTTGCGGTTGTTAAAGATGCATCGATGCCCCCCTCCAGCAGAGACAGACAGTAGCTCCTCCCACACTGCCCTGCTACGTCTGTGCTCTTAACAGACACACCGCGCTCTCCCCTATTCTAACTGGACACTAAAACGATGTTATATTACAAAGAAATCTCTCAGCAGATCGTTTTCTGAGTAAAACTTATGAGATAGAGTCTGAGAAAATGATCACGTACATCACAAGTCACGTGATGTACGAGCGTGTTTGATGGAAGCCGATGTGAAGACAAAAGCTATTCTAAAGTATTTAAAAGTGAATATCTTTGTCATTCCTGAATCTATCAGCATATAATAAAAAGTGACTGAAAAATAAAACTCAACTCTGTTAGAATATTTCAGCTGTAAGTCCCTAAGGAGCAGTTTTCTTGCTGCTTTTGGGAAGGACGCTGCGATAACTGTTTTTGTTTCTGACCAAAATAAGTTACAACACAGTGTGGGACACATTCATATCGACTGAACACGTGTATCAAATCGTGACACCAGTATTGAATGATCTGATATTATATCGAATATTGTTGCATCCCTAGTGGTTATATAAAGAGCCAATCAGCCAATTCAACAGCAAGGCTGCTGAAGGTAACGCTGCAAATCAAACCTGTTGCGTGTAACACCAGCGGGACTGATTTGAGGAACAGAAGGAGCCTGATGTGTCTGTTATTAATGCTGATATTTTAATTTACGGACAAAATAGCGAAATAAAAAAAACCCAGAATTATGTAGAGCAGATTAATATCAACATTTTAAAGAGCCATTAAATAACGTCCTGAAGCTTTACTCCACCCCTAAACAAAATCAGAAAAATTCTCCAGAGTAGGCTGTGCCCGGCGGGTTGTGGGGAGCGGGTGTGGGCGGGCTCTGGAACGATGATTGACAGCTGACTGACAGCCACAACAATCCAACATAGCGTGGACCGGCTCTGGACTTTGAAACAGAGTGGACATTTGTGCTTGGAACATGCCGTTTCCCTTTTCTCCAGACACAGTGGGACTCAAATTGGCAGCCGTTAGTCCAACCTGAAAATTCAAATGTCTCGGCTGTAGTTGATTCAAAAGAGGCTGGTACAGACTCAGCTTTTGACCCAGAAGTCAGCTTTTTGACAAATATGCACTAAAATGCCAAAATACAGCCGGGAATAGGTAAACATTTCTATTTTAGACCCCTTTAAACAGTTAGTCAGTAGAAAAAAGTGATTTTGGTGTTTAGTGGCTCTTTAAGACCAAAATGACAAGGCTCTTAGCAGCAGTTATGGAGATAATAGTAAAGGGTTTGTCGATGGAACCCATGCTCGCTATGTCCATTTATATATACAGTCTATGGTCTGAATATTCCACAGTATGGCATTAAATGTATTTATATAGTTACAGGTGTTTATACTGCGTGAAAATACCTTAAAGTATTTGTGAGTGTGGTTGCCTCTTCACAGATCTGACATGTAATTTGGCTTTTTGGTGTCACTTGCTAACCTGTATATGTATAGATAGATTTAATACTATATTGTGGAACATTCCAGGCAAAAAAAAAAAAAAAAACTCAACCAGAAAGCTACTAAGTTCACCTTTCACAACAATTTAATCTGTGAACAAGGATGATGTGTTGAACTGTATGATTTTCTGAGTTAAAAGTGCATTATGTAAGTTTTCTGGTAGAGGGTTCGTCAAACACTTTTCTTCATGGAGATGTTATTGCTTCATCCAGAATGTTTAAACCAAACTACACCAAGTTACAGGTCAGATCTGTGGAGAGGCAACCCTGCTCAGTCAGAATGTTTGTTTTTCTAGGTATTTTTGAATAATAAATAATAAAACCACCTGTAATTTAATAAATGTAAAGTAGAGCTGTTTAATGTTATACTGTGGAACATTCCAGGCAGAGCAATGACATCTCCATAGAAACAAGCAGTTGACAGACCCTCTATCGAAAAGTTACATAGTGCATCTTTAAAAATTATAGCCAAAATTACAGACACTCTGTATTTAAACCAAAATGTATCATTGAATGTATGTATGTAATGCACTGGTTCCTACTACATATATAATGGGGATGTAACAATAACCAAAATATCATGATATTGTATCGTCAAAAGTCTCCCAATAATATCGTGGGCTGTCACAATATATCAAATCACAAGTTTTTTTGCTTAAATGCATTGTTTTATAGTAGCAACAGATTATAAACATAGAGAACTACATATCCCATGATTCATTTCAGTGTAAACAACATGAAGAAATATGTTTTTACTTGAATTATTGGGATTATGACAAAAATAATTCACATCAAAATCTTGTCAAGGTATTTTAAAAGAAAAAAAGTGTTCCATTTACAATTATATTAGCCTCTCCAAAATATCGCAATAAATATCGTACCGTGAGATGCATATCGAGATAATATTGTACCGAGAGATTTGGATATCGTTACATCCCTAATATTAGGGGTGTAACGATATCC